CATCTTTGTTGGTATGTGGTGCTGAGGATCGAACCCGGGCCGCACGCATGCCAGGCGAGCGCGCTACCGCTTGAGCCACATCCCCAGGCCCCTTTTTTTTTTTTTTTTTTTTTTAAAACCAGGGATTGAACCCAGGGGTTCAACCCCTGCCTTTTTATAATTTTTTACTTTGAGACAGGGTCTTGCTAAATTGCTAAGGTGAATTTGAACTTGTGATCCTCCTGCTTCAGCTCCCAAGTTTCTGGGATTACAGGTGTGCACCTCCACACCTGGTAATATCCTCCTCTCCTTTTTATATAAGACATTGAGGCATAGAGACATTGAGTATCTTGCCCAATGTCACACGGCTAGAATGAGGTACAGGCAAGGTTTAAATACAGGCTGCCAGGCCCCGAAGTCCAAGTTCTAAACATGCTACCTTAATTCTCCAATAATGGTAGCAATGTGGGTGAGCTTTTAGAAAATAGACTATTGTATGTTCACCTCAAATGTGCTTAGGCAGTATAGTGGAGACAACTCCCACAGGGTCAGCTCTTCCACTATACCACACAGTTAGTTCACCACTTCTACCTGCCTCAGGATCCTGGAACCCCTAGGTTGTAGCAAACTACAGGCAGCTGCTCTCACTTCCGCCGTGGGCTTCCCTAGTTTTCCTCTTAGCCTGAATCCTACCCTCTTCCCAAGCCCAAGAGGGTAGGGTTCACCAATGTACCAGGTTCACCTGTTCCACCTCTGTTTTCACTCCCAACTGATTGATCTTCCACTATGAACATTCTCTCAACTTTGTGAGGACTAGACCATTTGGTAATTTGTGGGAAGGAGGTACTGGGAATTGAACTCAGGAGTTCTTTGCCATTGAGTTACACCCCAAGCCCTTTTAAAATTTTATTTATTTATTGGTGGTTCTGGGATTGAACTCAGGGCCTCACACATACTAGGCATGCACCTTACCACTGGGTCCATCCCCAGCCCTGATTAATTTCTTTATTTTGAGACAAGGCCTTGCTAAATTGCCCAGGCTGGTCTCCAACTTGGAATCCTCCTGCTTTAGATGGGTTTACAGTCCTGCCACTGTGACTGGCTCATTTGATAACTTTGTTTTCTTTTAATTTTGTAATTTAAAAAATATCCTGTTTCCCTGCATCCATATTTTTTAAAGAGAAAGAGAGAGAGAGATAATTTTTAAATTTATTTTTATTTTTATTTTTTTGGTGGACACAAATATTTATTTTTTTATTTTTATGTGGTGCTGAGGATTGAACCCAGCGCCCCGTGCATGCCAGGCAAGAGTGCTACTGCTTGAGCCACATCCCCAGCCCTCCATATCTTTTTTGCTACTTTGTTCTCTCTACTTCTATTTTGATTTTTGAGATGGGATCTTGCTATGTTGCTTACACTGGTCACGAATTCTAGGATTCTAGCAATCCTCCTGTCTCAGTCTCCAGAGTAACTGGAACTACAGACTAAGCTCTTAAAGACAGGCACCACCTCTACTTGAAATGCTCTTTCACCAAATTTTATCTCAAATGCCACTTCCTCCAAGGAGAAGTCCCAAATCTCATAAAATTGTAATCTCCCTAGTTTGACTCCTCATAGTATTTAACATTCACACTTGGTACTATCATCTCTGTGTTTCATCTTTGCCTCATTGTCAGGCATGCCTTGCTTCTCTTTCTGGAGGCCAGCACAGAGTGTCTTGCTCCTAGTACTGCTCAGTAAACACTTAGTCGTTAGAATTGGCAACAGCTAAGGATTGAGATGGGAGGGAGACAGATATCAGCAACCTTTAATCTCTGCCCAAGATGGTATGGTCCTCCTCCCCACTTCCTTCACCCTCTCCTTCCAGAACTATTTGAAATCTGGAAGTGTACGTTCAAGGCAGGCAGCGGGGTGGACCTTCTTCCGGGGCTCAAACCAATGTTCTCCCCTCTGGTGCGGAAACACCAAGAGGAGAGACCCTCATCTCCTGAAGTAAGGCCAACCTCGGGGCCCTGGGTCGCCTCACATCCAACTGGCAGCCCTGCCTCCTCCAAGTCCTTCCCAGAGTGATGTCGAGATAATTGGAGACTAAAACCAGAAGTGGTTTGAGAGCGGAGCTGGGGACCTGAACGCTGAGCGGGAGCTGGGGTTGGCGGGACTCGATGGAAGTGAGGACAGAGGCGGGGCCGGGGGGCAGGCCAGGACCCGGAGACTGAGTCTGGGCAAAGCCCCCGCGCCTGCCTAGCCAGCGGCTAAATTTACCCGGGCTGACTCAGCCCTTGCCCGGAATGGGGGGCGGGGGGAGTGCTCCCAAGCAGTGGGAAGAGCTAGCAGGGGTGGAGTGGGGGGCGAGGAAGAGAGAGTCCCTGGTAGGGGAGATGGGTTGGCCTAGAGTTTTCACCAAAGAAAGGAGTCCTCCTCCCCCCTCACAGCAAGCAGGAAGGAGCAGAGGAGCCCTGGGAGAGGGTGTGGGGAAAGGGTCAGAGAAAGGAAGATGCCAGAACTGATTAAAGGGAAGCTTAGATTTATTGAGCGCCCATGTGTGCTAGGCACTGTGCAAGGCGCTTTACATACATTACCGCATTAAATCCTCACAACAACCCTGCGAGGTAGGTGTTTATAAACCCCCATTTGACAGATGAGGAAACTGAGGCTCAGGGAGGTGAAGTGATTTGGCCAAGCTCACATGGCTAGTAAATGGCAAACAGAGGATGTATCCAGGATCGGAGAGAAAAAAAAGGTCAGTGTCCGCGTTCCAAGCCACTTGGCGTGGATGAGTACAAAGAGGGGCTCGGCGTGCTCCAGAGATCTGGGAAGCCGGAGGCCTGCTCCCGGCCCAGCACAGCTGGAGGTGGCAAGGCGGGGGACAGGCGCGCGGTAACTAGGGGTCAGATAACCTGCAATGCCCGGATAGGGGGGACTCAGGAACTAGCAACCAGGGAAATCCGCGACCTGCGCGCGCCCCTTAGTGGCTACTGTGAGTATCACGCCCCACCCTATGGTCTTTTTGAGACCAGCCTTTTTCCTTGCCTGGAGGGTTTCTTGAAGAGGCAAAGATGCAGAATTTCTCAGGGTTCTGTCAGGTGGGCAATACACCTGGCTGAGAAATCGTAATAATGCTTTAGTACACCACTAAGGGACATGGGGGTGAAGCAAAAGGGGAAGGCCTAGAGAGGTCCCAAGCTGATTCATTGGCTACCTTCCCTCCCCAGCTTGGACCACAGGCCAGGGACAGTAACAGGGTCACTATCCTGCCTTGCTTTGGGGAACCCTCATCTAAAAGAGGGAGACCAGGGTATGAGCACCTTGCTCACTCAGTTCTTCTGTAAACCCTAGACAGTCTCCTGAATTGAGGATAAGTGAAGGTGACAAGGAGGCAACTGGGGAACCCTTGGATTCTGTTAGCCTATTCCCAATACTCTTTCCTGGCTTGTTGAGATGAGGCCTCCTCAAAGATCCCCAAATTCCAGATCTGGAAAGAACCATAGATCTCCCTCATTTTAAATACTAGGAGCCCTGGAGAGGGGAAGTGACAGGTGTAAGTCAACTGGCAAATCAGTGGCAGAGTTGGGGCCAAAACTCAAGACCTGTGTCAACAACCTTGAGTCCTTTTCCTGCTTTGCTGGTTGTTTCTGGACCCTCTTCTGCCAAGAACCCCTCTATCACCTGGCCACTTTGTCCCTAGATCCTTCCTGCCCAGAGGTCCTGCCCTGACATTGTCTCCCTATGACTGCCTCCATCCCTGCCCTTTTGCCTGGTCCTTACTAGGCCTCTCTGTTCAGCTCTACACCTTAGGCACCAGCCCCTGCTGAAGATCTCAAGGAATGTCTTGCATACAACAGGCATTAAATCTGCTCATTCTCATCTCTCCTGAAACAACCATAAAATGCCACATGCTCCCTTTTCCTTTCATTTCTATTTCAAGTATGGGAAACGGTATGGGTAGGGAAACAAGGAAAAGAGAGCAAAGGAAGTCTCTGTGGGGAAGAAGGAGGACCAGTAGGTCCAAAGAGGGATGGGTCAGAGGATACAAATACAAGAAGGAGTCTCTCACTGCCTCTCCCTATTCCCTTGTGGGGTCCCCTTGGCATCCCTCGCCCCAAAGAGGGCCTGCTCAGTTTGGCTGATGACATCTAGAATCTCTTGGACACTGTCGCTCAGCTCTGCTGTCTTCCCGCCTTCCCGTGGCCGGGCGTTCCCAACCACCGACAGGGTCCTCTCATTCCGCCAGGAGGCGCCCGGGGTTTCTGTGTCGCTTCCATCAGAGGAACCGCTATGGATGCTGAGCTCTTCAGCTTCGTCTGAGTCCGAGTCTGGGGCAGTGTGGCGGCGGATGCGGGACACGGCTTCCCGCAGGGCCCCGGCATAGGGCCCCGGGGTCCGCGCCCAGCCCCCGCCCGCGCGCCGCGGGACCACTGCCACTTCCAAGCCCTTTGCGCCGCCGGCGCCTCCCAGAGCTGATGGGCCTAAGGTTGGGTGCTCTGGGCTACCTGGCTGCGTGGGGGCGTCCGGCAGGTTTACTTCGCCTACCGAGAGCCCCAAGATGCGGGAGGCGCGCTCCTCCAGTGAAGATTCCCCCGGCTTCCCGTCCTCAGTTTCGCCCCCGCGCCCCCTGCCCAGCTGGTGTAAAAGGAGACTGCTCAGTAGCGGTTTCTGGTCGCTGGAGGGAAAGACCGCGGACCCCTCGCCCTCTTCCTTACAGGGATTGGGTTGCCTGGGAGCTTCTCCCACCACGCGTGGCTCCCCAGAGGGCAAAAGCTGCACCTTTTGGGTTCGAGAGGTGGGAACATACTGGGACCGTATCACCACACACGTGGCGTCAATGACAAAGACACCTTCTCCACTAGCGGGACCCCGGGAACTGCGAGGCAGGGTGTGGGCGCGGCGGGTCGCCTTCCAACCCTCCAGGGTCTCGGATCCTGTCCCCTCTCTAGGACCCAGGAACTCTCTCCATCCAGTGCCTCCTGGAGCCCAGGGTCTGGGGAGCGTCTGGCTATGCCGGGSTGGCTGCTTTTTAGGGGAAGGAAACCAGCATTTGGGCAGCCAGATAGGTTCTCTTCCCTCTTTCCCTTCCCTCGAGCCCTTGTGATGGTGCCTGGACCTGGGAGCTGGACGTGGGGGGCTCGGAGACGCAGTTGCAGACCTCGAAGGAGCTATCTCCGTGCCTGGGCTACCTGTAGTTTTGGCTTGGGAGTGGCGGTCACTACCATTGTTGAGGCCAGCAGCCGCTAGGCCCAGACTTTTCTCCATGACCCTCTTGTCAGACTCTGGCCTCGCTCTGGCCGCTCCACAGCCTGGAGATCCCCCTAAGAGACCTCGCCCCTGTCGGATACCCCAAGCCCCTAAGACGTCCCGGTAGATTCGAGGGTCTAACTTCTTTTTTGTGCGCCCTCCCTCTGTCCTGGCGGGGGTCGGAGTTGGGGCTGATGAGATGGGTGCCTGTGAGAACTCGGGACCTCGCTTGGTCCCCAAGGTCCTGTGGGGGCCTTCGTAACAAGGTGGAGCCACGTAGGGTGGTGGCCGGTCCCAGCGGCGTCGTGGGGCCGTACCTGCAGAGCCTCTGAGTAGCAGGTGAGTCTCATAGCTGGGGGGCCCTGGCCTGCGACCTCCCCAGGGCCCCGCCCATGGCGCCCCTGGGTCGCTGTGCGGTTGCGCGGATGGACGAGCTCTCCCCACCTGCCCCAGGCGCCCGGGCCGAGAGAGAACTGGGAGCCCTGCAGGTTGGGCCACCCGAGGGACGTTCCGGAGCTCCAGGCGCGGCTGACCCACGGGGCTTCGTCGGGCCCCACCAGCTTTGCGCCTTTTTCGCTCGGTCTCCTTGGCCTCCCGTTCCTGCGACGCCGCTTTCCTTTTCTCTTGCTCCCGGGCTCGGGCCTCGGCCGGAGGCCCCGCCCGCCAGTTGGTCGCCTCCTGCAGCACCCTGGAGGCCCAGGGACGGCGAGGCAGCGGCTCGGGGGATCCCGGGCTTGGCCTACACCTGGGACAATGAGCAGGAACCCAGGTGAGCAGTTTGTGGGGGAAGGGAGCTGAGGTCCAGGGAACTGGGAGCACTGGTGACCGTTTGGGGCAGCCACATGAAGGGGTTTGTGTGAGTGTGTGCGAGTGTGCACGTGCGTATATGTTAGGGCTGAAGTCGAAGTGGGACTCCTCGCCACCTCTCCATGCACACTTTAATAGCGCCTGCCCCATCTTACCTCCTGCCCTTTCTCACGCCCACTCATGTCCCCCGAATCAACGCTGAATGAGTCAGGCCTGAGCCCTCGAGGGGTGGGGGAGGGAGGCGCGGGAAAGAGAATGGGGACCAGCGGTGTTCACTGGTGCCCGTGGGGAGATCTGGACCCCAATCCCCGCCCCACCACTTGCTTCCCCTCACCCCTCCTTCACTCACGTGCGGTTCTGGGGCCCGCGAGCCCAGTGGCTGGCCTGAAAGTCCATGGGCTGTCGAGAAGGGGCGCGGCGACTATAATGACAGGAAATAGTCTTCACTTCGATCACCAACAGCTTGGACTTCTGCACCCAGAGGCAGCTGCCAGACTCCTCATCCTGGAGCTCCCGGGGGCTGTCGGGCCCCTCGGAGAACAGCGGGCCATCCAGCATCCTGCCCCACCCCACCCCGGCCCCCCACCCTCCCACCCGCCCCTGGAGCCCCCTCCCAGCCCAGGGAGCCGGCGCCCACTGCAGAGCGGCGGGCCCAGGGACTGGGAACTATATATACCCAGGCACACGTGTGTGCCTGTCTGTGTGTGTGCGCGCGCGCATGTGACACAGCGCGGACGGCTCAGGCTCAGCGTTGCTACCTCCCCCATGTACACTGCTGCCCCCTGGGGCCCAGGATTGGACGCCCCTTCCCACTGCTCTGGTCCCCCAAGCCTAATGGGACCCGCATTGTGGGTGGAAGAGAGGCTTCTGATTCCTACCACGCTGACAGTGCCCCCCTCTCTAGTCGTCCCCATTTCTTCAACCTTCCTGCTGTTTTAACCCTTTACTCTCCTGCTTGTCAGGTTGCCAGACCACTAGGGTTCTACCTGGTACTTTCTTCCTGCCTTGGACTTATTTCCACAACGGGGAATGATGAGAATGGAATTTAAGGTCTCTGCCTGCCACTCTCTGTGCTGGTTTCCATGGGGTTGGGGTGCAGGAGGGGCTGGCCCACGGCTGGGGGCGCTATTTTTAGCGGCAGTGGCATTCGGGTGCAGAGATGAGATGAGTAACCAGCTCCCAAGCAGTGGAGAGAGGAGGCGGTGGCTTTCAGGAAGCTTTTGTATGATTCGGAGAGAGAGCTGTTCCCCCAAGCTCAGAAAGGGTGACCCCTACATCCTTAACCCTCACTTTTTGAGTGTGACAGAGTGGCTGCTGGTATAGTAGGACACACTCCATGGTGGCTATCTAAGCTGTTCTACCACTTCCACTCTAGATATTTCCCCTTGGGCACCCATGGAGCCACCCCACCCAGGAGCAGATACATTCCCCAAGTACAGAAGCCATAATTTTGGGGTTACACTGTTCTGTGCCTACACAGCCCTGCCCAGCCTTATGGAGGACAGAATAGAGTGCTTATGCACTTGCACCCTTACTAAGAGGGATGGAGGAGGAATGGTGTGCTCCCTTGGCAAAACAAATTCCCTAGCAACTGCAATAAAAGTGGCCTGTATTTCCCACTGTAGGGCTCCCTCTCCACTACCACAATTCCTAGTTCACTCAACCCCTTTCTAAAGTGGAACTAGCCTCTTGGGCTCAGTCTGTCCTAGGAGGTTGTTGCTTACATCCACATGATCCCTCCCCCGAAGCCTATACCAGGTGTCCCCTGATTCACCATGGTAATGTTAGTGGCAGCACAGCCCACGCCAACCCTTACATGCAGAGACTTAGCAACATTGCCTGGCAACCATGGCAGCAGCTTCTGTGGAGGGGAGGGGTGCAGAGAGGGAGAAAGTGTGTATGGTAATGGTTCCTAAGGAACAAGGGACAATTTGCCTCTTCTGAGAAGAAAAGGTTAGAAGCCTGTGGAGCTCCCTTGTCCTTCCCTCAGTTCCATCCTCAGATTCTGAGAATGATTGGTTGGATTTTAGAGGAAAATGGGAAAAGCAGGAGATCCCAATTTGTTTTCTGCTAAAGGACATGGACCTCTTTGGGTACAGACCCTACCTTTTAAGGTAATGGGAATAAAAAGGGTTGCATGGCAGAGATGGGACTTACTACTGAGAAACAGCACAAAACTTAGACCCCCTGCTCCTTAACATGGACCCTTGGAGAGAACCCAAACAGCCCCTGTCCCATCTATGTCCTCCCTCCTGATTCCATGCACATACCAGCCGCACTGATGGCTCTGCTTGAAGGTGCTTCTTTCCACTCTGGATTCCACCAGAGTCCAGAGGCTTTTTAAAGCTCTTGCCTCCTCTCCAGACAAATCTTTGTTCATGAGGGAATGTGACATAAGGAGACATCTGTCCTTTCCACCATGCACCTACCCACACACATATAAACATACTCTAATTCTAATAACTTGGAAGCCTTCCTCCCCCAAGTTTGGGAATGTGCTGTCAGAGCTGTGAAGAGGTGAGCACAGAAGCAAGGGCATAGCCACAATGCAGCACTGAAAGCTGAACCCTGACAAGTATCTTGATGCTTTTCTCCTGGTTTGGAATCAGGAGATTCCATTAGGAATCCTGGTTTGGAAAAAGTATAGTAAGGCTGATGGTTCATCAGAAGAATTAGATACAGGGGCTAGGGTTGTAGCTCAGTGGTAGAGTGCTTGCTTTGGAAGCGTGAGGCCCTGGGTTCGAGCCTCAGCCCCACATAAAAATAAACAAGTAAAAATAAAGATATTGTGTCCATCTACAACTAAAAAAAAATTTTAAATGCAAAAAAAAAAAAAAAAAAAAAAGAAAGAAAGACTTAGAAACAGTAGAGGGAAGCCCAGGCTTGTAGAGATGCTGTAGTTCCTGGTTTGGATGGGAAATTATTTTGTACCTGCAAGGGAGTAGTGAAATGGCATTGGAATCTGGCTCATATCCCATAGTCTGGCAGTCATTGAGGTGTCTGATGCTGTAATTTCAGCATAGGGAGTGGGTCTGATAGGGTGACCTAACTCCTGCTATTCCCTTACCCACTAATGTTAGCTCAGTGTTTGTGTGTGTGTGTGCGCACATGTTTGTGCACCTCGAGCTACTGGAGATTTAAACTAGGGCCAAACATGCTAGGCAAGTGTTCTACCACTGTCTAGCTCATTCTTACCTTGGAAGAAAGGCAAGAATTTGTAAGTTCAAGGATAGTGCCAGCCCAGCAAAGTTCAAACAATCCAACCTTCCTTAGGAAAAGTTGCTGATGGTGGCAGGTCTCTCTGCCCAAAGACCTGTCTATTCTCTGGAGASCTATCATTATTATGAGATTTTCCTGGGGCCTCAGCTATGGTTCAGGCAGAGGAGAAAGTGAATAATAAGGGAATAGGGTGGACAACACTTGTGAAAGGAGAATTACAGAGGTAGTAAGTCTAGCATAGTGATTAAAAAAAAAAAAGAAAGAAAGAAAAAGCATGAAACCTGGATCTAGACCATTTGGATTCTAATCCTAATTTTATTTTTTATTAGCTTGTGGCCTTGAGCCAGTTAGTCCCTCTATGCCGCACTTTTTAAAAAAATCTATTAAGCGCTGGGGATTCAGCTCAGTTGGTAGCGTGCTTGCCTTGCATGCACAAGGCCCTGGGTTCAATCCTCAGTACCAGTATCAGTACCACACACACACACACACACACACACACACACACACACACACAAATCTATTAAAACTAGTATAGTATCTAGTATGGTTCTGAAGACTAAATGTGTTAACACAGTTGACTATCCCTAATCAAAAAATTTTAAATCTGAATTGCTCTAAAATTCAAAACACATAGTCTCAAGTATTTAGGATAAGGAATACTTAACTTGTATAGGTAAAGCACTGAGAATGATATTTAGTATGCAGTTATATATGTATGTGTGTTGTTATTACTACTGTTATTAGTGATGAGTTGAAGAAGTCATATGAAGTTGAAAGGCTGGGGAAAGTGTCTATTAAGTGTAAAAATCAAACACTGCAATAACATGATGAGATTGTTGTCATTTAATCAGCTTTGCCATGAAAAGCAATAACCTTTGCTATCCACTCTGACCTCCTCCACCACTTAACCATCTTCCTTCATATGCTTACAGCACAAGAACCAAAAGCCTTCCTCCCCACAATCCTCCCCACTCAGATCACTGGAAGAAATGACACTAAATGGACTCAGCCTCCTACATACAGCATGAACTAGGAAGAATAAAAATATGAAGAGTTTGGTTGTGCTATTATCTTAGGATAGAGTCAGAGCAGAGACAGAGGCAAAGGAAGGGTGAGGTCTAGGGATCTCTCAGAGATCAGTATTTGTCTGAGGAGCACAGAGCCCATATTATACCCAAAAAGGGGCTATGTCTAAGACAGGAGCTGGGATTGGCTAGGCTGAAAGATTTTCTCAAGTATACATGTGAGGGTAAGGGTAGCTAAAATCCTTTCTCTTTCTCCTCATGCCTCCTCTAGCTTTCAGAGAGAGGGCAGGGGACTCTGAGTAGGGAACAGTCAGTTCTCCTAAGGTTTCATCTGATTCCTACAGCTTTCATCAGGCAGCAAGTGAAGCATAGCCCCTGATGCTGCCCAACTCCTTCCTCCTGCTCAGGGCTTCTTCTCTCCACCTGTGAGCACCAGGGCCTGCAGGATGTCAGATAGTGATACAATTCCCTTGACCACATCATTCTCATCCACTACTACAAGTCGGTGAACCTGGCACAGAACAAGAAGAAGGAATGCTTAGTGCCAGCCTCAGTTGGGGTGAGCCCCTCAACCCCTATTCTCCATGCTAAACCCCAACTCTCAAGACTACTTCCCCCAGCTCCTTTAGAGTCACTGGCCTCCCTACCTCTGCTTCCACCAGCCTGTTGATGATGGTCTCTAGAGTTTCATGCAGGTAGCACTTGAGAACACCCTCAAAATAGTGTGATCGATGTTGTAGAGCTTTGGTCACAGACACATCCAGGTTGTTGTAGGTCTTTTCTGCTGCCAGATTCTGGGGAGAGAAAGGAAGGGCTTGCAGGGAAGCAAGGGAACCAGTCCCTAAATCTTGGACACACCCAATCTCACCATAGGGGTTTAGGGCAATTGTCAGCCACATCCACAAGCCATACACAGATCATTCAATTTATTTTCAAATAGAATTTGAAAGCTTGGAAACTTCTAAGACTCAAGTGACAAAAAAGACTCCTTCTTTTCCCTTTCCACATTCAATATCCCTCCCCTCCCCAATATCCCAACCCCTCCCCAATCACTCACGATAACATCAAACTTGGAGTAGATGTCCACCACACGCCCTAGGGGGATACAGGCAGCTCAGAAAGGAGATCTGGCATCCAAGGCTCCCCCTTCCCGAAAGAATTGCCCCCCTCCCATGTTGAGCTGAAGGGAAAGCAGATTTTCTTCAGCTACCTGACCCCTAAGAGTCTTCCCTCTCCTTTCCTAATCTCACCTTTCTCATCCACCACAGGCAGGGCTGAGACTCGATGCTGTACAAAGATGCCCAGAGCCACATA